GTTAATGAATGACTAATAAATGCACATTCACTCTTTCTCTATGCCTGAACCTGCATTAGATTCTCTCCTAGTACCATGAGTCTGTGGACATCAAGATTACTGTCTGTTCCATGATCAGAATCCTGGCTCTGAACTCAAGACATAAAATCACTGGGCAGAGTTACCTCAGTAACCTCACAGAGCAGCATCCTCTGCCAGGATGACTCTTTCTTCAGGAATAGATCTCTACCCTTACCTATAAACCTCTCCCTGCCAGGCTAGCCAGGAAAATATCCCTGCATCTGGCATTTCCCTGACACCACACAAGGTACATACCCAACCCAGGCCAAGGTCCTCTGTCAGAGTGTGCCACCCCATTTATAATTTCATTTCCCTGGGCTGAAATAGACATCTATGGCATGCCAATAAATGAAAGGATTCAAAGTAAAGAGTATTTACATTTCTAACACATACAGCCATAATCAGAGAGACTGGGAGAAGAATAGCACAGTTTACCATTGACTCCTGTCTTGGGGACACTTTGCCTGGTTCCTCTGCTCTTTAAGTCATCCATCCATCTCTGCTGTCTTCTGTTTTCATCCCACTGGAACACATCCATGGCTGTCATGCTCAAGGTGGCTTTCCTTCTCCTCAAGCTAGAATCAGGCAAGCTATTCAGGACAGCTTCTTTCAGTCCATTTCTTGTTGACTAACAGTTTGAGTTCTTTCCTTGTGATTGCAGAACAATGGTGTAGGCTTATTTGTGTTGTTCATATTCTCCTAGCTGCTTTTATTTGCAACCTAGAATTTGCCAGTACTAGGGGGCTGTCCGGAGCATGGGCAGTGGGAGGGATTCAGGCAAAGTAGGCACAATGAGAGTAGCTAGAAATGTGTGTGGAGTGTTGAAGAAAGGCCACAGTAGTCTCTAAGGACTCTGAGGCGAACACACAAGATGTTGTCGATGATGAGGTTTGAGGGTTTAGGCAAGGGATGTCTCTAGAACACCTAGCTTTCTGACTGGGTGCTTGTGTGTACTGTTTGGAACACTTGAGGAAAACATACGTGGGCAGGCTGAGATAGAAACACCTGTGATATGCAACCTCATAGTTGGAAAGATACACAAAATTTGACTCAGAGTCTGGCTTATTTGGGGGCAGAAACCCACTCTTCTTTCTTCTCCCTATTACCACCCAATATAAAGCCTATTCTATAAGGCATTGTGTAGTTGAATTAAAAAAAACATAGCTGGGCTGATGGAATAGCTCAGGTGGTAGAGCACCTGCCTAGCAAGTGTGAGGCCCTGAGTTCAAAGCCCTGTGCTGCCAAAAAAATAAATTTGTACTGAACACATACAAAATTTGTGCTTGCATTGGCAGCACATACACTAAAATTGGACCAATACAGAGAAGATTAGCATGGCCCCTGTGCAAGGATGACATGCAAATTTGTGAAGCACTCCATATTAAAAAAAAAACACTGCAGTCAGTGTTCAGCAGGATAAAGTTCAGTTGTCTCCACCCTTTCCTCTATGCAGGATACTTCCAATTGCCTGTGTACCTATGTGTGTTTTGCTGAACAACACTAAGAAAAGGGCAACAAATATATTCAAAACTTACTCTACTTAACAACAGAATGACTATAATTCACAATAACATATTTTATGAATAACTAGAAGAGAAGAACACAAAGTCAAGTTGAAGAACCTTCAAATACAAGGTAATCACATAGAGAGGGAAATGTTAAATACCCTGATTTGATTAGCATACCCCATATATTTATTATACATATATTTATGTACCATTAAAATACTGAAAATTAATTTAAACACAAATGCTCTTTATATTAGCCTATATTAATTATACAAAGCAGTGGTCTTTATTTTGACATATTCATGCATGCATATAACATACTTTGATCACATTCACATCTTATTATCCTTTTTTCTAACTCTCTTCTCCTTCCTTTCCACATGTGTATAGTCTCCCTTTTACTTTGTTTTTTCAAATATGGAGACTGAAGCTTATTAATGCAAGTTCTTTTTTTTGTTATTAACTGTGTAGGGAGATACATGGTAATATTTACATATGTCCTTGCAATATATCTTAGATTGGAGGGGTTAGATTTACCCCTCCATTGTTCTTCCTTTTCTCTCCTCTCAACCTTCCTAGAAAAATTTCAACAGGTTTCATTGTTCTATTTTCATTTATGAATACAAAATACATCCACCATATTCACCGTCATTCACCCTATTCTTATGTCCCCCTTTTACTTTCATGTACTGTTTCCCTCTAAGTTCCACATGTGAGAGAAAAACATATGATACTTGCTTTTGTGATATTGGCTTACTTCTCTTAACATGATGATCTCTAGTTCCACTCATTTTCTTACAGACAACATAATTCATTCTTTATGTCTAAATTCAGCTCCATTGAAAATACACATCACATTTTCTTTATCTATTCATCTGTTGATGGGATTAACCTAAAAAAATATGGTATAAATTCTGGGGCTGTGACTCAAGTGTTTGAACACTTGACTAGCAGATCAAGGCCCTGATCTCAAAATGCCAATACTACCAAAATAAAAACAATACGAAAAACATATGCTATGTTTTCACAATGAAATCTACACATGGTACTCTTAGGACTGCCTCTCATCTACCTTCATTCTAATGAATGTTCTGGTTAGCTTCTGCTTCCTTGCTGTTTTCGGGAGAGACGCAGCATAGAAATGGCTGCAGAGGCAGAGATATTTTTTTTTTATCACTCCCATTCCTCTTCATTTGAGCTTTCTGGCTCAGGGTATCCCTTGGCTGTTATGACATGGAGCTAGTGACACTTTCCTGACAGACCTGTCATGAAGGACTGCATGAGATTATGATGGAATGTAAGTAGCACATACTTGGAGCAGTGTTCAACACCAGTTTTATCCTCAGTTAAAGGAACAGTAAAAACATTGAAGACGCTGCTACAGGGAAGAGAAATGGGAAGTGTGGAAAGGGAAGCCCAGCTGAGACAGTTCTGCAGGTGGTTTGTTTAGGAGGTGATTCTGAGAAACCAAGCAAGAGGGTTGGAGATGGAAGCCTGAATCCATGGAGGGTGTGCTAAAGAACAAGCTACTGCTGACAGGACCTGGGACTCAGGCCCACTGGAAACCTTTTGGGGAACCTTTAGAGGAATCATTTAGATGGTGACTCAGAATCATGTTAATGACAATGAGGATAGGATGAACTGTGTCTGCTGCCTCTCATCCATCACAGATGAGCCCTTAGGGCTGTTCAAATCCCAGGACTTCTGCCCTACTCCTGAGATCACTAAGTTCCAAATGTTGGAGGAGGCCCTCAATAGAGAAGAGAGGCAAGGCTCCTCAGGTGGAGCTGTCAGCAGGTGTGGGGCTTGCCCATCCTTCTGTAGTGTACTCAGGGGCTGAGTGCATTTTAAAGGGCAGGCCCTCAGCCTCTGCTATTCCAGGTTAGTAGATCAGATATTGTGTTACAAGCCACAGTTCATCTAGTTACAGTATCCTTCAAGCACCAAGCATGTGCAAAACTCATGTCAAAAGATTTATAAAGCACACTTAAATTAAAAATAACTGGTGCTAAAGTAAAAATTCACTTATTAGGGAATTCACACATTAAATCTTTTTTTCCTCCAGTCATGTGCACACCTGCACTTGCGTGCATGAATCAGTAAATGAATACATGTGGTTCAATCAAGAGAAAATGTCTCTAGTCCAAGAGGTTGTATACATACAAGTTGAAGGGTGTGGGCCTCCACAATGTGTGAGCTCTCTAAAAAGGAGTCTATTACAGACTGTTAAGGTGATGTATGTGAGGGAAATTGCTGAAATGGTAATCAAACAGATGAGCAAAAGAAAGGAAAATGGTGCTCATCATTCACACTTGTAGCCCTTATTTGTGAGGCTCATGCTCTGTGCTGGACATGGGAAGCAATGCTGAGCAAAACAGACTCTGTCCACATAGAGCTGAGAGATGTGCAGGGGAAACTCCCAGAAAACAAATCATTATCACACTTGAAACCAGATGACGAGGAAAATTTCAAAATGGAGGCAAGGGCCAAGGTATATTAAGAAACTATGAACAACACAAAGGCGAGGGCTTTCTATAAGGGATTAAATGAAGCACTGAGATATATTATCACACAAAGTGTAAAAGTGCATGCTATAGAAAGATTATGTCACTGTGAGTGTACTAAGGGAGAATTCTATGAAATAAAAACTGGAAAATCTCCTGTTATGGTTCACAAGGTCATTGTTCAGATTTTGACAAAGTAAACAACAAAACAAGGAAATACACATAAATGTTTGACCTGCACTTACAGTATACATTGTACACATCCTCCTTGTATCCATGAATATTTACAAAACATACTCATGTATTTGAAGGAAACAAATTGTCCCAAACTGCAGATTTATGGTCATACTGCCCTCCTTTGGTGATTGAAGAGGGATAGTCTTTGATTTTTAGTAAAGAAGATAGAAAAGGGGCTATTGTGAATTTTAGTGAGGCAGATATGAAGAGGGAGAGAATGTGGGTATAAAAGTCTCCTCTAATCAGTGGGTCTGCATTTGGAAAGCACCTCTCATTCATCTGAATAAAATGAGTACTGTTTCTAAAGCATAATTTTTCAACTTGAAAATGGGAGTATTAATAAGATATATCTTTGAGGATTGAGTGATATAACTCATGTGGATATGTTCTGTCAAGTGTAAGGGGATACACAGATGCAAGTCCTTTGGTGTAGAGTAAGGAGATTGTGATGAGTCTTCTAAACCTTTGTACTTTACCTCCTCCCTTCAGCCCTGCATAGGACACACAGACATGGGTTTTGCTCAGTTACCATTTGTGTTTCTTCACACAGGGCAGTGACAGGTGGTTGGGCCAGAAAATCCCATCCAGGTCTTTACTGGAGCAGATATTGTTTTCCTTTGCTTCCTCTCTCCTGAGACAAATGCCGAGGCCACGGAAATGCATTTTTGTAAGGATTGCTTCTCTGACATAGTCCACCTTTACCAGGATGGGGAAGACGAGAAATATATGCAGATGTCAGGCTTTCAAGGGAGAACAGAGTTGGTGAAGGACTTCATTGTGGATGGGCATGTGCTCCTGAGGCTGGAGAAAGTCATCTCCTCAGATGCTGGCCTGGTTCAGCTCTCAGACTCACGAGCAGAAGGCCATCTGGGAACGTCAGGTAACAGGTCAGTTGCTAATTTCAGAGAATTCATGACTGACTTGTTCTGTAGAATCATTTTGGCCTTTATAAACAGTTCTATGAAAGGAAAGATTTTTTCTTATGTAACTTTCTTAGCTGTCCTATGTGACCACTTTGTTATGTCTTGTGCATAGAGTTCTATCATCATGTGTAGACTCGTGTAACTACCACATCAAAGCATCAATCTGTCCCCTCACCACAAAGACTTCTCTCTTTTGCCCTTTTATAGTCACACCCTCTTCTCTCACCATCATCTCCTACCACACAAATCACTAATCTGTTCTCAATCAGTGTAATTTTCACAGTTTAAGAATGTTATTAATAATGGAATCACTCAGCATCTCGCCTTTAGAGAGTGGCTTTTTCGTTCAGCATAATAACCTTCAGATCCATCCTTTAAATTGCTGGATGCAGTCATATGTAACTTTTCCTGTGGACATTAAGTTTTCATTTCTCTCAGAAACATGACCAGGAGTACAATTTCTGGGATGCATGATAAATGTATGTTTAGGTTTTTTGTCTTCTAATTTGTAGTGTGTTTTTGTCAGTTTGAGCTTCTATAACATAATATCATAGGCTGTGTGTTTAGTAGACAGAAATTTTATTTCTCACAGTTGAAAAGCAGGAAATGGTATACTCTGTTTATCTTAGCAGCGTCCTAAAAAAATTTGAGCCAGTGTTTTAAATAGGGAGATTTCATATCCAAGATTAGGATGCAGTAAGTTTAGGTTCGGGTGAGGACCCTTATTCAAGTTGCAACCTGTGGACTTTTCATTGTAATTTTACATGGCACCTGCTTCCTGGAGTCCCCATTCATGAGGGTTCCAACCACATAACCTAGGTAACCTCCCATATAATAATTTTACTTTTTCCTCTCTAGCTTAGCGTCCTTCCTATCTTTTCCTTGGTTAATTTATCTGCTGGAACTTCCAGTACTCTGATGAAAAAATGTCAAAAAGTGGTCATCTTTGTTTTCCTGTTGATCTTAGAGGGAAAAATTTTAGCCCTTTCCCATTGAATATGGTGTTCACGGTGAGTTTGACACATATGGCCTTAGTTGTGTTAAGAAAGTTTCCTTCTATTACTAGTTTGTTGAGGATTTTTTATGATGACATGATTAAATGTAATGTAATACAGCACATTAACAGAATAAAGGAAGAAAAACAAGTGGCTATCTCAATGACTTTGTACAAAAAAACATTTTATAATATTCAATATAATCATGAATAGGTGTTTGATTTTGTGTCAAGTGCTTTTTAATGCATACATATTAATTTATGCTTTTTATTTTTTAATTGTGTGATATATTGGCATATATAAGTTGACTTTTGAATGTTGTATCACCTTTCATACCTAGAATAATTCCTAATTGATTATGGCAAATAATTCATTATATACACTGCTTAAATTAATTTAATAATATATTTTTATTTTATTGAATTTATTGGTTTGTTTTTATTGTTTTTACATTTATTCATATGTGTATACATTGTTTGGGCCACCTCTACCCCCTGTTCCTCACCCCTCACCCATCCCTTCTCACTTTCAGGCAGAACCTGTTCCGCCCTCTTGTTCTCCAATATTGTTGAAGAGAAAACGTAAAGACAATAAGAAAGACGTAGCATTTTTGCTAGTTTGAGAATATTTTATTTTGACCTTCCAAATGAATTGGCAAGCATTTACTCCTCTTGTATATGCTAGGGAAAATTGTGTAAAATCGGCTATAACTGTTCTTCATTTTATTTCTTATTTTGAGTGTTATGACTTGTTCTTATTTTGAAAACTGTTTTTGGTTTTGGCATTGCCAGGCTTTGGACTCAAGGCTTCAAAGATTTCTAGGCAGAGACTTTACCATTTGAGCCATACTCTCAGCTCATAACTGTTCTTTAAATTTTTTTTAGGACTTACCAGTGAGACCATCTTTGCATTTTAATATCTTTAGCATGAAATTTCAAGTTATAAATCAAACATTTTTAGTGGTTATACAACTATTTATTATGACTGACTTTTGGTGGCTTGTGGTTTTCAAAGAATTAGTGTGTTTCTTCCAAGTTGTCAAAAATATAAGTATAAAATTGTTCCTAGCATACCTTATTATCCTTTTAATGGATCCATGATTTGTAGTGATACCTCCAGTTTAATTTTTGACATTAGAGATATTTATATTCTTTGTTTTTATTTTTGCTAATCTTGCAAATTTTATTTAAGAACCATATTTTTCACTGATTTTCTTTATTGTTTTCCTATTTTAATTTAATAGATTTCTGCTTTTATCTTTACTAATTACTTTCTTCTATCATCTCTTTTGCCCCACCATCCTATTTTTCAACAGCTTTCAGTGTGTTTCATTCTGCCATCTTTATTCACAGAAGGAATGTATTTCGGTATTATTTACTGTTATTCTCTTTTAATTTCCCACCTCCCGAAGTCCCCTCAGTCCATATATGTATATGGTCATATATTTATTTATGTATACATTTATCTTTATCTTTTAGGTCTAGCTTCATCTGAGGGAAAACATTCAACCTTTGTCTTTCTGAACCTGGTTAATTTTGCTTAACATGATGATTCCCCAGTTCCATCTTTTTACCTGCAGAAGTCATAGTTTCATTCTTCTTTATATCTGAATAATGCTCCATTATGTATATGTACATTGGGGTTTGAACTCAGGGCTTTGTATTTGCTAGGCTCTACTTCTTGCATCCTGTTTCCATCACCTCTGTCATGTTTCTGAGTATATCACTGTGTATAGTTTGCTTAGCAGTTGCTCTGGGTTTTATGGTATAAACCTGTAACTGATCATACTTTGCTGATGCTGACTTTATTAATATTTCACTTTGTGTAAATGTGGAAACCTTATTCTCACTTGATTGTTTTTACATTTGCCACAATTGAATTAATGTTGTTTTCAGGATTTCTTGCACATACATTCAGATCACATCAGAAAGAGTAATAATTTTTATATCAGCCATCAAATATAATTTAAGAAATCCACAAGAAGGTGGTCTTTTGTATGTACCTTAATTTTTGCTGCTTTCATTGGTTTTATTCCTTAGGGATGTTCTAAGATTCTTTCCTTTATCATTTCATTTCTGTTTGAGAAATTTTCTTTAGTCATCCTTTAAGGCTTGGATTGGTTGAAACAAATTCTTTCTCTCTTTTTTTTCCTTCAGGAGAATATCCTGACAGCTCTTTTCTTTTAGTACTTGAAAATTACTGGGCCACTTATTTCTGATGAGAAATCTGCTCTCACTCAAAAGGAAGTTTCCTTATATGTAATGTACAGTCTTTCTGGTCATTTCCCAGATTTTTTCTTTGTCTTTGGTTCTTAGTAGTTGAACTACAGAAAGTCCAGGTGTGAATTTATTTTGATTTTCCTTATTCAGCATTCACTCAGCTTTTATTTTCTGCAGTTTTATGCCTTTTCATCAAATTGAGAATTTTTCAAGCACCATTTCATCAAATGCTTTTTTTAGATCCATTCCTTGTCCTGTCCTTCTGGGACTCTGATGATATAAACATTGAATACTTTGATTTTGTCCTATAGGCCACTGAGGGTATATTTTTAAAAATCTTTTGATTCCTTGTTGTTAAAATTCAGTGAATTATATTGCTCTATACTCAAGTTCACGGATTATGTCTTCTATCAGATCTACTTTACTATTGATCCCATTCAGTACATTTGAAATTTAAGTTATTTTATTTTTCAGTTGTGTAATATCCATATGATTTTTATCTAAATCTTTTTGAAGGTTTTCTATGCTTTTCATATGTTCAAGAGATGTTATAATCATCATCATTATCACTATTATTGTTATTATCATTATTAGTCTGTACTGGGGATGGAACTCAGGGCCTGGTGCTTGCTTGACAAGTGCTCTACCCCTGAGGCCATGGGCCCAGTCCATTCAATTTTTGTTTGTTTTTCAGATAGAGTCTCATGCTTTTGTCCATCATAGCCTAGGACCACAATCCTCCTACCTCCATCTCCTGAATAGCTGGGACTGCAGGTGTGCACCTCCACACCTGACTTATAATCATTCATTGAAACCTTTTTGTGGTAGTTACTTAAGACTCTTTGTCAGATAATTTCCAACATCTGATTAACTTTGGTTTGGTATTAGTTGATTATCTATTCTCAATGTAATTGATATTTTCCTGGCTTTTAGAATGAGGTGTGATTTTTGTTTAAAGGGGGCATATTAGCCGTTATGTCAATATACTCTGGATCTTATTTAATGCCTGTATTTAATCAGATAACCATACTCTAGGGTTAGTACTAAGATCCAGGTCTGTTTTTTGCCAGTTGTGGTGATAAATACATTTTTAAAAAAACTTTTGTTGCTTCCATATATTTGGATAATTTGAAAATCCTGGGGTTTCTACTGAGTGCTTCTAGAGCCGCCTGTAGAAATAGGACCTGCTTAACCAGGGGAGACTTCCTGCATTTCTAGGTGAGTCTCTAGGACAGACCCCAGCCTATAGGGACAAAAGTGCTTCCCCTGTTTTCTTGTCAGTGAGGCTGCTGTTCAATTCTTCTCCCAGTGCTACTGGGCCCCCTGTTGTTGTCAGTGATGTAGGGAAGAGTGAGACTGCCTGGGACAACTTCTGTTGCTGAGTAGGGGACTGGTAATAAAGTTCTGAGCTGCAGTAGCGTTCCTTCAATCCTAGGTTTACAATTTTACTTAAAAGATCAGAGAGAGATGAGTCTACACTGCATTATTATATGGATCCCTTTCTTACAACCTACACCATTCATTTGTCCATTCCCTCAATTAATATTTATAAGGTGTATGCATTGGGCAAAACTTAGGGACTTGCCCAGAATGGCAAATTTCTGTCTGGAGTGGGGAGATGGGTAATAACAAATAATGAAATGTGTTTTAACTCTATAAGGATTGCTCACCACAGTGTTCAAATTATAAATGGAAGTTAGGCTAAACCCTCCTTGGATCTAATTAATTCTTTGACACAAATCCCCAAACAACTCCTTTCTTAGCGCCTTTCACATCTTTTGCCCTGTTATTCTCTGATCTGAGTGAGACACTAATGTGTCTGGCTGGCCACCCTTCTCTTTAGGACTCCCTGAAACCCTGTTTCATGATGCTACACAGTGGATTTCTAAGATAATTGTCAAATCATAGCTACCACCTGATGGAAACCAGTCAATAGCCTTGTGGTGACTTTAGTATCTACTATGCTTACAAGGTATGGTCCACTTTCCTTGAGTCAGTGCATTCATCCACGGTTTAGTCTGATTCTGTGCTAGTCTAAGATCTCATTGCCCATCCTTCTGTTCTTGTACACTACAATGTAGAAATACCAAATGCTAGAAAGTGTTTTTTAAAAGCACTGTGTCATGGATTTCATGGTTTTTACTTGCAACTTTGCCTGGAGTGCCTCTCTTATCTCCTCTACTTGTCCAGCTATAGAACCATATTTATGTGATACAACAGGGTACCAATGTCACCCTAAGGAATGTACCCTTAAAGTCATTCCTTTTCTCAATGTGAGTAAGAGAGAGAGAATGAGAGATTTAAGGTGAGTTGTTTTATGGATGGGTTTGATAAACCTGGATTAGGACACCTGTGACTTTGAAACATGACATTTGTTTTCACTCTGTTCACTCTGCAGAGATGGGCTTAACTCCTCTCATTTCTGTGTGGGATATGCTGGTAGAGACTTCCAGCTACTCTGTCAGCCCTCAAGTTGATCATCCCAGCCCATAGTGAAGTGGAAAGACCTAGAAGGATTTGAATCACCTGTAGACTCTGAAATGAACAAAGATGTTTCATAGTCAGTTTGATGTGGAGACCTCCTTTACAGTTCAAGAAAATTCTGGGATCATATCATGTTGCATCCAACTCACTAAATCAGAGCCCAGAAATGAAATCCAGAATTTTGACAGGAAGTGAGTAGAAACAGGCAGGTATTGTGTAGCATTTTTGGAGGAAAAGAGTATCAAGATTGTTTTGTATTGTCTTATTTTAATTCTTAGTTTTGAAAAGTCAAAGTAAATGAGGTGTAAAAAGAAAGTATAAACATTCAATTAGGTGGAAACAGAATGGCTTACTGTTCTTAGGATTAGAATTAAGTGTTTCCTAAACCACAAGAACACTGTATGGGAACTGTTTAGGAGGAAAGCTAGCAAGAAAGGGCGGGGGGGTGGTGAAAGAAGAGGGTGATGGGGGAATCTGCTCTAAGTATATTATGTGTATGTATTAAAATAGAATAAAGAAACCAATTAACATTGTTTTTAAAAATGTGGAGGGGGAGGGAGATAAGAAAGTATAATAGAGGGATAAATATGACCTAAATACATTGTATGACCATATGGAGATATACAGTAACCACTTTGCATAATTAATATATATATATAAAAAATCACTCCATGGAGCACCTATTCAAACTTAATATATACAATTTAAGAAAACTAAATTTGGAATAAAAAATATTGGTTACTCATTTAAAAGCCATTACTCTATGAAACAGAATAGAATAAAAATATAATTTCAGGATGATTTAGAAAGTAATAGAACAATTAATGCTAACTCAAACATTCCAGTTATTACAATCAATGTGAAGAAGTTTTATTTTACAGTTAAAACACAAAATTGTCAGACTGGATTAAAATTACCAATTGTTGTATTCAAAGAAAAAGAAAAACATTTGAGTCATTTATTGAAACATAAAATGGAAATAAATAGCCAGGCTCTGGTGGCTTATGACTGCAATCCTAGCTACTTAGGAAGCAGAGATCAGGAAGATCAAGGTTTGAAGCCAGCTCAGGCAAATAATTCATGAAACCCTATCTCGAAAAAACCCATCACAAAAAGGGCTGGTGGAGTGGCCCAAGATGAAGGCCCTGAGTTCCAACCCCAGTACTGCAAAAAAAAAAAAGAAATATTTGAGAC